TTCCCATATGATTCAACTATGAGCGGTTTTAACAGCATACGGTTGCACTGCCCCCTCTGTCAGATCTATCTGTGTGACACGCAGCGTGTGCGAGTGTGTGTGTGTGTGTGTGTGTGTGTGTGAGCATGCAGACAGACAGGTTGACACACGTTGAGTGCTCATTTCCCTCTCTGCCCTCAGGTGAGGTACAGACCTGTCAGTCACATGCACACAAAAGCTTATATTTTATTTTGCTCGGCAGTCATTAGAGAAGCAAGAAATATGGCTTGCATCATCCCGGGCCCTGCAATACTCTCTCGGGCCCCGTGTCTCTGTGTGTACCCTTAGCTCTAGACCCATCAACCAAATTAAAGGTAATGAGTTGTCAGACAACAGAGAAAGCCTGGCTCCTTAAGGCTAGGACTCTGATGCGCTGGCCTATTCTCCATACGCCCACCGACACACACACACACACACACACACACAGACACAGAGAGAGAGAGAGAGAGAGAGAGAGCGTGCTCACTCACTCACTCACTCACACGTGCTACGCAACCCACAGCGAGCCGGGGCTGAGTGACTTTAATATGACTGGCCTGTTAGAGAGATTGGCTGGAGAAAGATATCTGTGATTATTCTCCCAAGCTTGTTTTCTCCAAGTCAATTCTTGGAAAAGTGCTTGTTAACTCTTCCAGTTGCAGGCACAGCACAATTTTGTGTTTACCTGATGAGCTCAGACATGCTTTAACTGTGTTGCACTTCGTCGCATTAGCATTTTATTCTAAAATATCTTCTACTCTATCTTGAATAGAGCCTACACCTTGCTAGTATTTTAAGCAGCAATGGTATTTGTGGTTTTAGAATTTACCTGCACATTTTATATTTTAGTGCGCTAATAATTGGTATGTATTTATATAATAAATCAATATTTCATTATTTATTTAATTCCAAAATGATATTGGAATGATGTAATAATAATTAAATACATAAATCAGTTTGAGTCTGAAATCAAATCATTTATTCTGAAGTGTTTAAAACGTGAAACCCCAAAATAATGTTTTAAAGAATATTCTAATTCAAATAGATGTATAGTAATATATTTGTTTAAATCTAAAATTCTATTTCATTTAAATAATATATAACTATAATGAAATATATCGATTCATTTAGTTATTAAATAAAAAAAAACAATATTCTAGTTTAGAAATGCAAACCCAAATATTTAAATAAAATATCAAATTTAAATAGATTTATACAATTTGATATATATATATGCAGGTAAGCAGAGCCTTACTGATATTTAATATTAGAAAATATGATGCTTAGTTAATACTGAATCAAACATTTTGGGTTGGTATATATATATATATATAATTTTATACATTGTTTTAATATATTTTTCATTTATTCTTATGATGCAAAACAACATTTTCATTCCTCCAGTCTTCAGTGTCACATGATCCTTCAGAAATCATTCTAATATGCTGATTTGCTGCTCAAGAAACATTATTATTATTATTATTATTATCAATGTTGAAAACAGGTGGGCTGCTTCATATTTCTGTGGAAACGATTATACATTTTTTTCAAGATTATTTGATGAATGTCAAGGTCAAAAGTACGTACCCCAAATGTTTGCATGATAGTGTACATTGCAAGCACAATATGGCCAGCTTTTTGATTTTTGACATATAGCTTAGTAACACTTGTTTCCAAAATAAAATGTTTACTACACTTGTTTAACCTTTCTATTGCCAAATGTTTGATGCTATGGTTTTGTTGTTGTTGTTGTTGCTGTCGTGTGTTATAAAGTGATGCATCGTCTAACATTTAACCCCTCACACACCCTGTTCTTACTATGAACTCCTTCATTTGAAGGAGCGCGTCTTTAATAATCAGATGCGGCCGGCGGGAGACAGCAGGAGACCTTCCCCTTTAAATGTGTGTATTGAACAAAGAACTCTCTCTCATAAGAGACATCTGTCTGCTCCTCGCAATGTCAGAATTAATACATGTTAATTCAGCTCATTAGAGAGCACTGGCCCCTGGCCAAGCGTCTGCCGGTGGCCCCGGCTTTGATCTTGAATTCGTGCCAGGTTCGGCCTTTGATGTGTCTGAATCACTTGACATTGTGTTTACATTCCTCTACTCCGACAATCAATATTAAGACAAAAGAATACATAAATCAGCTTGAGGAGCTCTCGAGTGCAATGCCAAATGAATAGGCCGACGGTCTGATTGTCAGCCTCTGAAAGAGGAGGACCAACGTCATTTTCAGTTCGCTGATTAACGGAGCGGTCGATTCATATGTGGTTGTTGCAGATGTATGAATCGGAGTTGGGATGTGCGATTGATGAAAACGGTTGTAACTGAAGACCCGAACATGAATAAGACTTCAGGTTCTGCGAGGGGGTGTTTGTAGCCTTTC